ATCTAGAACAACCATTTCCACCTTTTTAAGCTGCCCTTTTGATGTAGTGTCTAATTCTATTTTTAGATATGTGGTAGTGTCTGTTGATGTTGATATGCGGTTTTCTCTTGAGTTTGTATTTGTGTGTGTTGGGGACCAACCCCAGGATGTGGGAAGAGCTCTGATTTTGAGTCATAATCCCCAGTCATCTTTTGATGTCTCCATGTGAGCCTTATGTTGCCTCAGGAAACATTCTTCAGTTTGCTTGTTACAGTCAAGAACTGTTAAGTAGCCATTCCTCCTTCTCCCTAGAATGCCCCTTCCCTGGGTTGACTATTTTCTCTGATCTAATGGTTATTTTCTTGCTCTTGGCTCCAGGTTGGGTAGATGTGTTTGCTCTGCTGTGTCTACTCTCATTTTGATCAAGTATCTTCTTTACTGGATTATAAAGCAGGGTACTTAGAATGCACCCATGTCAATGTCTTTTATTTCCTTGGTTAAAAATAGGTATGGAATTTGGCCTCATGATCCATTTTTGCTCATCACTGTGAAGTTTCATTTCCCCTCAGCTTCTAGCACTGTATTTTTTAAAAAGCATTTAATTTCTTTTCAGTCTTGGTTTTTATGTGTATGGGTGCTTAGCCTGTAAGGATGTCTGTGCATCATGTGTGTGAAGTACCTACAGAGGAAAGATGAAGGTGTCAGATTCTCTGCATGAAGTTTCCATGTGGGTGCTGAGAATTGAACCTGGGTCCTCTGGAAGAGCAGATAGTGTTCTGTTTGTTTGGTTTTGTTTTTTGAGACAGGGTTTCTCTGTATTGCTTTGGAGCCTGTCCTGGAACTCACTCTGTAGATCAGGCTGGCCTAGAACTCACAGAGATCCACCTCCCTCTGCCTGCTGAGTGCTGGGACCAAAGGCATACACGTCCTTAACCTCTGAGCCATCTCTTCAGCCCCAGCTTCTAGCATTGTTGATGAAGATGTCCTGTATGCCCTGTGCCTTGCAGATTGCTACTCCTTGGTGGGACTTTGTATTTTCCCCTCAGTATTCCAAAGTTTTATTCATCTATTTTACTGAGGATTCATTTATTTGCTTACTTATTTTTATGACAGTGTCTCACTGCATAGTCCTGAATGGCCTGGAATTTACTATATCCAAAAGAAGTCCTCAAACTTGCAGAGATCCACCTGCCTTTAGGTGGTAGAATCCTAGGAATAAAGGCACAAGCTCAACTAGTTTAAATAACAGCAACAACAAACGTGCAGGTGTCCATGGACCCAGGAGAGGGCATAGGATCCCTTGGAACTGAACTTGTATGTGATTGTGAACTGGCTGCCTTGGCTGCTGAGAACTGAACTCTGCAAGACCCGTGTGTACTCTCGGCTGCTGAGCCTCCCTGCACTCTGATCTTGTCTGCCCTCCCTCCAGAGCCCCAAGCATCTTTTAAAAGTTCTTCTGAGAGATCTACCACCCTGTTGTTCTGGAAAACTCTTGTCTCATGCTATTTCTTTGCTCTTTCTCTGTGGTTTGTTTCCGAAATCATATAAGCAGGCTATTTTTATTTATTTAGTGATGCTGAAGGTTTAGTCCAGAACTATGACTGGGCTGTAACCTTAGTTCCTAGCAGATTCCCCCCCCCCTTTAAAATTTTTATTTAAGCTGGACAGTGGTGGTACACACCATTAATCCTAGCATTCTGGAGACACATACATGTCATACATATAAATCAGATTACAACTGGAGGGAACTGGTTCTCTGCACCATTTTAGGGCCTGGGAACGGGGACTGAACTCAGGTCATCAAGCTTGGCCTTGTTGTTCCTTAACCATCTCTCGTGCCCTCTTTTTTCTTTCTGAGAAAAAGATACCATCAACAACACCACCTCCTCTTCCTCTTTCCCGCCTCCCTCCCTCTCCTCCCCACCTCTTTTGTCTTCCTTTCCTCCACCCCCCCCCCTTTTCTGGTGCTGGGGAATGGGACCCAGGGTACACATGTTCCATGTTCCAGGCAAGTGCCCTGCCACTCACTGAGCTGTTCCCAGTCCCAGTGCATTTTTGATTGTGGTCATTTAAACGCAGAGCTCCAAATGTTCTTCATTTTAGAACATCCTGTTCTTGATTTCTGGGATACAGTGTGTGTTATTTCTTGGACAGTGGGTGATGATGCTGGTGTTTTTGTGGCAGGCGCCTGGGCCTTGGCAGCACTAACAAGCCAGACAGACACGGGTAGTGAGTGATAAAGCCACACACCCTCTCCCACCACCTCTGCCTTTTTTAGGGCCTGGTACGAGGTGTAGATTTATTTATTTTTATATTTATTTACTTTTGTTCTACATATAAGGGTGTTTGTGTGCATTGGTATACTACATGCATATAGTACCTTCAGAAGCCAGGAGGTGTTGGACGCCCTGTGACTGGATGTGTTGTGAGCCCCCATGTGGGTCTGAGAGTTGAACCTAGGCCCTGCTCTTAACTACTGAGCCCTCTGTGCAGCCCTGAGGTTAGGTTGAAATAGGTTAGGAAGTGTGCATAGCTAAGCAGTTCTGGGCAAGGTCTGCACCATTGGCTCGTTGGTTGAGCTCCGGTCTCCTACAGGGTGGTCTGACAAGTCAGAGCTGAGCGGATGGATTCTCTTTCCGGGAGACTTGCCTCCCCTCTAGTGGAACTGGGCCTTTCCCTTCCAGCGTGAGAAAGTTCCAGTTCTCTAGAGACCTTTGTTTTCAAAGCTTTGTGGTCAGGGGTGGAGGTCAGGATGTAGTGGCCATCTGCAGTGTTTACTAAGGACTGTTCCCTGCCTATCTTAACTGTCTTTCTCTGGTGAGGAAGGCCTGTGCCCATCACATGTTGCTTTTGGCCTGGCAGCCAGAGGCCAGGGTAGGATGCTGCTGACGGTAGATAGTAAACAGTGCTTGCATGTGGTGGTACCGGGAGACCAGAAGACGGCACACACTTCCTTCTTGCATGCTGAGTCACATGACCTCGAGCCCCAGCTTCATATGCCCTGTGTCTGACCACCCTCTCTGACCTGGGTGAAGAGCCATCGGTGCCACAGAGTGCTGCCATTGATGTGGCTTCTTCTGACCTTTCTGTGGACAGTGTGTAAGAGCCCGTCTAACAAGCCTCAGTACATTCCTCCTCAGCTTGTGAAACCAAGGGGCATTTCTCCAGGACTGTTTGCTTAGCATCATCCCAGGTTGTCTTCAAGCCTGCTCCTAGCATTTCCTGGTTACCAGTTTCAGGACACCTGAGCCCCCCACTCAGAAGTCTGGTCTTGTCTTAACATGTACATCTTAACATGTTAAATAGTAAATATGACACACACCCCTCTCAACACATAGCTACTTAATTATCTAGATGGTATGATATACAATTAAAGATCGTGCTGAATGGTTTTGTTGTTGTTTGTTTTGTTTTTTGTTTGTTTTCCATTTACTTCAGTTTTATGGAATCAAGCTCATAGTGAAATGAGGGTTTTTTTTTTTTTTTTTTCTGTAATACATTGTGTTGGTTGATTTTTGTTAGTTGGACACAAACCTAGACATAAGGGAAGAGGGAATCTCACCTAGGGAATTGTCTCCATCAGAGTGGCCAATCTGTGGGGGGAATTGTCTAGATTAATGATTGGTGTGGGAGGGCTCTCTGTGTGGGACCCTGGGTTACATAAAGAGCAGGTTCTACAGCTAATGCCTTTTTTCCCTATTTATTTTTAGGTTTTGTGCGTGCGTGTGTGTTATAGTTGCATGTGTATGTATATTTGTGTGAGGGCACACATTTCTGCAGATGAGTATATGAGGAATCTTCTTGACGTTTCTTTGCCTTATACATTGAAGCAGGGCCCCTTCGTTTTATTTATTTATTTATTTTACAGTCCCGCTGCAGTTTCTTCTCCCCTCCTCTCAGTCCCTCCCCCCCATCCCTTTCTGTTCCCCTGCTCCAACCCACTCCTCCATTTCTGCTTAGGAAAGGGCAGGTCTCCTGTGGATATCAACAAGACATAGCGTATCGTTGTAGTAAGACGAGGCACCTCCCCGTGTATTAAGTAAGGCTAGGCAAGGCGACCCATTATGAGAAGTAGGGTTCCAAAAGCCAGAGACGGTGAGGCAGGGTCTCTTGTTTGAACCAGAGCTGGCCAGATTGACTGGTCTCTCTAGTCAGCTTACTCTGGGCAACCCAATTCCACCTCTGCAGTGGGTTACAGTGGGCCACCATGCCCAGATGCCCTCACGCTTGCATGGCAAACCCTGTTGAGCCCCCTCCCTAGCCAGGGACCCCAGTTTCCTTTTCTGTAACACTTTGGAAGCATATATCTTTAACTGTGTAAGTGCCCATCTTGCCCCCCTTTGAATCTGGATTCTGCTGGCCTGGAATCAGTTTCCCAGATCAGCCCTCTGGTTTCTCTTTTTTTTAACTCGATCAGTGAGTGGTTCCGTAGCATGAATACATGCCTAGAAAGTAAGGGAAACAGACACAGCAATCTTAGTCTTTGGTGCCTAGGATGAGGCTGGGAACACATCTGATCCCCTGGGACTGGAGTTTCAGGTGGTTGTGAGCCGCCTCGTGGGTGCTGGAAATGAAGGGTCCTCTGCAGGGATAAAAGTGCTGAGCCATCTCTCTAGCCCCCAAGATCCCTGTTTTTATGGCATTAAATATGTGTATTTTTCTTGAAGACCCAAGGTTTTCTGCCTTGATCTAACCTCTCAGTCAGCTAACACCACTCAGGCATGACCAGACATGTTAGCCTGTGAAACATGTAGCAGTTAGGCTGAGGCAGCTGGACTCTGTCTCCGGGACACTGGGCTGTTGTGAGAAGTCCAGGTCCTTATCAGAGTGTCTCTTCCTGGAGCTGCCTCGTGGGAGGAGAGGTGGGTGGTGTAGACCTGTGGCTGAGGCATTTGATAAAGATTGAGTCGTATGAGGTCAGATGTCTTTGGATGGTTCCTCCACTCACACTGGGGGGTGGGGAGTGAAACTAGCCACGTGGCTGTTCTTAATTCTGAACCTGTGTGCCCTTTCTCCTGCAGCTGGAGAGATGGCATTTGTGAAGAGTGGATGGCTGCTCCGACAGAGTGAGTAGAGACACTTGAGTCTGCTAACGCGGGTCACATTAGCAAACCGTCGTCCAAACCGTCATCGTGTCTGTCAATGCCGTTGCCTTGCATTTCCTCTGGGAATTTTCAGAGCTGTGGGACCTGTCTGTGAAAACGCCTGCCTGTGGGGATCCAGGAAGCTTGGAGGCCCCTCCCCTTCTCTTCCTCAGTCATGTGCTTTCTTATTAAGGACGGACTTGAGGCTGCTGAGCCTGGCCACACCTGCCCTCTGTGTGGGGGAAATACCTGGCCTGTGTGGGACCTGAGAAGGATCAGTAGGGAGACTTGCCTGGATGCGCACACTGACATTTTGTTTCCAGAGGAAACTCAGTTCTTTGGGCTTGAGGCCCCAATCTCCTAGACCTTGAAGCTGTGGACCTTGAAGCTGTTGGTCTCCTAGGCTGCCACTCCAATGAGCTGTAAAGCACACAGAGCCAGCTGTGCTGTGCTTCCCAGGTCTGTGGGTAGCCTTAGCCTAGACAGAGCCAGTAATGCTGGCTTTACCTGAGGGTATTTCAGAGGGTAGTCTCAGTCCCCAAGGGCTACCTTTTCTTGGGCATTGCTCCCCCAACCTCCTGTAGACAGGTGGCATAAAGCTCCTTGCTCAGACCTGAGGATGAGTCTTTTGCCAGTCCTTTGACTGTCCTTTGCCATGCTCTGGGAAGGTAAACCTCTTTTTTTTTTTTTTTTAAGTTGTCATTATCATTTTTACGTATGTTTTCCCCAATCCATGATGGACTGTTGAAAGGGCCAGTCTTGGGTGGGTCTTGTGCAAGTATCCATAGCTGCTGTGTTCATGAGTACGTTGGCCGTGTGTACCCTGTTGCAGATCCCAGGATTCCACCCAGGGTAATGAAAAGAACGCCTTCTCAGAGCAGTGAGCAACTTAGAAAATATTTCTTCTCTATCTTTAGGCTCGACTTCTCTAGCTGGTGGGTCGGCCAGTTGAATGCTAGTTGTCACCTGCTGCATATTCCCAGTGGCCTGTGTATCCAGACAGCAGGGTCCCACAGAGCCCTTCTCCATCCTTTGGCTTTTACATGTGTCCTGTCCCTCTCCCGTGATGCTCCCTTGGAGGGGCACAGTCTTAATTTGCAGTCTACCTTTTCTTGTTTATTGCTCGACTTGGGCTTTGCTTGACAGCCTTCCTGTGCTTGCACTGTTAAAGTAGGAGTGGTCAGACCATGTCTGTTTCCATCAGTTCTGTGGGGGTGGCCAGTGTCCTCTGCCTGCCATGCACTGGGGACAACCTTTATTGATTTAAGCCAAAGACAACTTCCCCGGATTCCCTCCAGGTACCATTTTGAAGCGCTGGAAGAAGAATTGGTTTGACCTGTGGTCCGATGGTCACCTGCTCTACTATGATGATCAGACTCGGCAGAGCATAGAGGACAAGGTCCACATGCCAGTGGACTGCATCAATATCCGCATGGGCCATGAGTGCCGGGGTAAGCGGTGCCCAGAACGCCATGCCTCCCTTCCTTAATGAGTCCGCTTCCAATATCAAACTGGGCGCTGTCCAGGCAGACAGAGTGGGGGTTGGGCACTCACGCCATGATAGATGGATTTTTTCCCCCCATTGATGTTGGACCCAGCATGCATCCCCTCATCGTTGGAAAAGGAACTAGACCGCTAGCAACCCCAAGAAAGGTGGAACCCCTCTTACTTAGGTCATGCTGATTTCCTGACTTAGACACTGGGTTTATGCTGTCATCTCTGGTCAGTCTCTTGAAACCACGATGAAGTACCTCGGATGCTGGGGTCAGTCATCCTTTATGCTTACTTTACAGGGAACAAATGGCGTCTTCCTAGCCAGCTTGCTTGCTTCTCGTTTGATCTTAGGCCCCAGGTTATCTCCCCATGTAGCGCTATACTGTCCTGTTCTTCACGTCTGTGGGTTGTTATTTCTAAGAGTATGTAAGGCGGAAAAACGAACAAAAAGACAAGCTACGGCGTGGGCCTTCATTCTGCGTGTTTCTCCTAGATATCCAGCCTCCAGATGGGAAGCCCAGAGACTGTCTGCTGCAGATCGTCTGCCGAGACGGGAAAACCATCAGTCTCTGTGCAGAGAGCACAGACGATTGCCTGTGAGTTTTGATTTCATTTCGATTCATTAGTTGACAAAGTATTTTCTGCTCTGGTTTCCACTTGTCAGGAAGTGTGTGTGTGTGTGTGTGTACATGTATAATATACATGCCTGTGTGCATGTATGCCACGGCAGGGATAGAGGTCAGAAGACATTATCGGTATCGGTCCTCACCTTTCACCTTGTTTTTGAGACAGGGTCTTGTCTGTTTTTCATTGTATTTTCCCATGAGCTCAGAGGTTCTCCGTCTCCATTTCTCATTTCCCCGTAGGAGTGCTGGGTTATATATCTTAGTGCTACACATCGGAATTTTTTTACATGAGTTCTGGGGATTCAAACCGAGGCCCCTGTGCTTTGATGGCCAACACATTTATCCACTGAGCCATCACCCTAGCCCCCTTTATTCTGATTTCTGTCCCTCTTGCTCAAGCAGTGTGGTGGTTTGGATAAAAATGCTCCCTCCCGCAAACTCAGATATTTGAATGCTTAGTCATTAGGGAGGGGCACTATTTGAAAAAAAGATTAGGAGGTGTGGCCTCGTTGGAGGAACTGTCTGGGGGTGGGGGTGGGGGGCAGTTCGAGCTTTGAAGTTTCAAAAGCCCATGCCAGGCTGTCTCTGCCTCTGTGGATCAGGATGGAGATCTCAGCTACTCCCTAGCGCCATCTGCCTGCTGCTGTGATCCCCTCCCATGATGATAACGGACTAAACCTCTGAAGCTATAAGCAAGCCCCCAATTAAATACTTATTCTTTTTTTAAGACTGAGAGTTGCCACGGTCATGGTGTCTCTTCACAACAATAGAAAAGTGACTAAGACAGGCAGGATCCCATAGGGAATGGCGAAACCCATTAGCAGCCGCTTTGTGCTATTCATTGATAGACTCATACTAGCCTGGTACGAGAGAGAGAGAGAGAGAGAGAGAGAGAGAGAGAGAGAGAGAGAGAGAGAGAGAGAGACTGATTGACTATGTAGCCCTGGCTGGCTTAGAACTCTCTGTGTACCTCAAACACGACAGAGATCCATTTACCATGGCCGCCCTGTTGTGGTATTAAAGGTATGTTTCACAATGCCTGGATAGGCTTTCTTAGGGTTTATTTTTACATTTTTAATTAAAATTGATGTGTGTGTGTGTGTGTGTGTGTGTGTGTGGCCTCCGCCTCTGTTGTCACACAGCCTTCTCCTGTTGCATCTGTGCCCACACTGGTCATGTTGGACTGAGAGTTTACCGCCTTTTCATTTGATTTCATGTGGAAAGACCCTATGTCCTGGTGAGTCACGCCCATGGGCACTGGGGACGGTAACTTCAGCATGTCTCTTGAAGGCACATAGTTCAATCCATTATAGAGACTTCTGAGGAAAGATGGGGAAATAAGCATGGATTGTCTTCTCCGTCTGTCTGTCTGTCTGTCCGTCCGTCCGTCCGTCCGTCCGTCCGTCCATCCATCCATCCATCCATCCAATGGGTGCTCTCTGTGGCTGAGCACTTCATTACGAATCATCCTCTAGAAATATTTACAGACGCTACAAGAGAAGCAGGCCATGCTCGGGTACACCTGTCAACCCAGCACTTGAGAGGTTGGGGTGGGAGGGTCAGGAGTTCAAACACAAAAAAAGGGCACAAAGGTAGCAGGGAGCATTCTCTTGGATGGCAAAAATGTTGCCAGGGTGCCGGAGTCCAGCTCCAGCGGGGTTATTGTGCCCCATGGAGGATGTGTGGTGAAAAATGAGGAGTCTGACCATCGGTTGTCTTTCAAATTGATGGCCCTGACCAGCTCGGTTCCAGTGCATTCAAGCATGAGCAGTTTTAAATAATTTCTCCAAGAATCATTACCATTTATTCATTTCAGTTTCTCTTCTTTCCTACTCCCTCGATGTCGTTGACCTTTGCCCTATACCATTGTATAGCAAGCCAACTGTTTATATCTAGCTAGGTACATCTTAGTCATACTGTTCCCTAGCCGGCAGCAAAACATGAGCCTACAAAGTAAGGGATTTGAGCCCTGTGGTTAATTCTTAACGGTATGAGATCAGCTGAATATATCACAATGCCTTGAGTATCATTTTCATGTGTATAACAGTTTCTGAGCAATCTGTATGTCACTTTTATTGTATCCTTTATAAGTTCTCAAAACAGTAATGATTAATACCCAACTCTTTACCTATTGAGACTATGTTTCTTTATTCTTCCTGGCAATTTCCAAGTGTACTTCTTTAAGAGAAACTAGGAGTTTTAGATACCTTCATGGATACTTTGATATTGGAAAAGTATCTGTGTGTTCTAGTACCAGAGAAATGTCTGACCTTTCGTGTCCTATCTCTTTTGTGTTCCTATAAGGTTTTTAATGTCATCTTTTGAGAAACCATTTTCTTGGTTCGTAAGTTCTTTGGAATATATTTATCTCTTTTTTGGAACCGAATAAGCATCAACCTTAGTGAGTCCCTCCTGCTTCCTCAGAATGACTGCAGCCAGGGATGGCTGGAGAAACCGGTTTCTGTAACAGATCAGAGAAATTTAGCTTTTCTGTAGACGCATAGCAAAAGTTAGAGAAGCCGAAGGCCATGAGCGCCCTAAGGTCAGCGCAGGGGTTTGCAGTATTGTCTCCGTGGGTCCTTGCCCAGTGGATGCGATTCTCCAAAGGGCCTTGCCATCTAAGGAGCTACACACCGATGTGCTATTCCCTAGGATGGCTTCTGCCACTGGTGTGCTGGCTGGTTTTATTGCTGGACACTGGATGGGAGGGAGCCTGGCCTGAGAAAAGCCGCGCTCCTCCATGGTCTGTGCATCAGCCCCTGCTGCAGGTTCCTGCCCTCTCTCTAGAGTTTTGCCCTACCCGTTTTGATGCAGAAACATTATATGGAAATAAACCCTTTCCTCCCCAGGTGTCTTTGGGTCATGGAGTTTCATCACAGCTGTAGTACACCTAACTAAGACAGTTGAAATCTCTTCATACCATAGGGCATAGAATAGCCATTAAAATGATGTAGAGACTAAGTGTGTTGGCATACACCCGAATCCCCATACTCCATAGGCGGAGGTGGGAGGATCTTGAATTTGGGGTCAGCGGGGGTTACACAGTGGGTTTCCAGCCAGTGCCGGCTACTGACGAGACAGCTTACATGCATTAATAAGAAGAAAATATTAAATGCTGTCCATTATGCTTTTAACGGTATAGACTATAAATCTGTTCTTTAAATAGACAGACATGTTTTATTGGTTCCTGTCTCGAGCAGATGGTTTGTAGGTCTTGGGGTAAGGCCTGGTTTTGTTTTATTTTGTTTATTGTGGTGTGGGTGGGGTGGTAGGAGACAGGGTCTTAGTCTGCAGCACACACAGATTTGCCTCAGCTCATGGTAGTTAGTAGGCCTCCTGTTTAGGTCTCCCAGGTGCTGGGATTACAGGCTAGATGTCTCTCTATAAACAAGCCTTTTCAGGAATGCTGATGCTAGCCAGGATTTAAGACTCGTTGGAATGTTGGGTTACCTCAGAGTACCCTGTTTTTATTTTCTCCAGGGCATGGAAGTTTACACTGCAGGATTCCAGAACAAACACAGTAAGTTGCCCAGGGTGGCTCCAGCCCGGTTTGCACCTCCTGGGTCTGTGTAGCAAACTGGAGGACAGGAGGTAGGGAGAAGGAAATGAAAGGGGCGGGGTCTCCTGGGGAGAAGGAAATGAAAGGGGCGGGGTCTCCTGGGGAGAAGGAAATGGAATGGAAGGGGCCGGGTCTCCTGGGGAGAAGGAAATGGAAGGGGCCTCCTTCCAAGCCCTGCTCCGTGAACTGAACAGGGTGTGATCATGCTAGATTTTGAGAGGGGGTACCTGTTGTCTCTGAGTGTGAAGTTTCCCCCATAGACCCACCTGTTTGAACATGTGTCCCAGCTGGTGGAGCAGTTTGGGGACCTTAAACAACCTTTAGGAGGATAGGGGTCAACGGGGGTCCCCGGGGGCGGGCCGTGAGCCTGCCCCCACCCTATTCGGTCCTGATGCAATGGCATGACCTGCTGCCTCCTGCTTTTGACACCTCGTCCTCCCTGCCTGCCTGCTGCCGTGCCTTGCCGCGTGTGATGGGCTGTCTCCCTCTAGAACTGGAAACCAGACCAAACTCTTTCTCCTCTGAGTTGTCCTCACTGGGTTATTTTGCCAGAGTAGCGAGAAAGTAGCCTTGACAAGGTCCCTCCTGCTATGGCAGGAGGCTTTGGTCTCCTCTTCCGGGTTCAGGTCACCGTGGATTCTGCTGTATTTTGAAGTAAAGGTTCAAAGAGAACCATGGAGCCCCCGTTATCCATAAGATCTCAGCCTCTTATGAAACCAAAGCCTTCCTGTCCTTGTCTCTGATTCTATTTCTGACCTCAGGAGACACAGAAACCATAAACTGCTGTAACCCTGGCAGAGCCTCCTGTGTCCAAGACTTTTGTGGTCACCATTTTTATTCTTAGATGGGGCTCTGTTTTGTTTTTGCAATACCTTTGAAGGAAGAAAAGGAAAAAAGTAGATAAGCTTACAGAAGAATTTGTGCAGGTCACAGACCTCAGTCCTCTGCCCCTGCAGCCAGAGATACTTCTCCTCTAAGCTCGCTGCAGACCCGGGTTGTCTTTGTTTTGTGAACAGACCCCCATGAAATGAGTATTACTGGTCCATATAGTCAGCAAAATTCCACCCAGTGCAATTCTTTGTGTGGGATTTTTAAAAAGAGCCCCCCCCCCCCTTTCGCTGGAGCACAGTTTTTGAACGACAGGGAAGAGCATGCTCATGGCACACTTCTGATTGTGGCCGGATGGACCGATAAGAGAGGTGACTCTTGGTCTAAACGGCATTTGACAACCGTGAGGCCCCTGGCATCTTCCTAGGCCAGGAGCGCTCGCTCTGTCCTGGCAGGAGGCTAAGCCAGGACTGGCCACCTTGCTGCTGCACTTAGAGGGTGTTTTAGCGAGGCTGGAAGCTACCCCTGGACCAGCAGGAGGCCCTTCCTTCTTAGAGAGCTGATCATTGCTTTGCTGAGTAAATGTGCTCTCTTGTCTCACACAGGCTTATGTTGGCTCAGCAATCCTGTCTGAAGAGACTGCCGTGGCCGCCTCTCCACCCACCTATGCTGCCTATGCTGCACCGACCCCTGAGGTAGGGAGCAGATCTGAGCAGAGACCCTGCAAGCTGGAGGCTGGGCTCTCTGCTGCTTTGCCGTTTTTGTGTTTGGTTGTGGTTTTGTTCTTGACCTTGAGTCCGTATCAGGGAAATTAGAACCACACTCTAAATCTTTCCTTGTTATCACATCTTATTAGAGCTGGTGGTGTAGCTCAGTTGACAGTGTGTTTGCCTGGGAAACTGGAGGCCCTGGGTTCAGTCCCCAGCACTGCATAAGCTGGGGGTGGCAATGCATACTCTGGGCTCTCTCACTTGGGAGGCGGAGACAGGACAATCAGGAGATCAGAATCATTCTTGGCTACATAGGAGGCTAGGCTTAAGCTAGAAATTCTGTCTCAAAGTAAACAAAAATCTTTGTGTGTATTTTCATATTCAAATATTTTGTCTGTAAAGTTTTTTTTTGTCCTTTTGTGGGTGATGGAGCTTGAACTCAAAGCTAGGTAAGTTCTTTTCCACAGAGATCTCACCCACTATTTATAGACTTACTTATTAATTAAAGGATATATATATATATATATACATATATATATAAATATATTCTTTATATAAACACATTTATTTGTGTGTCTATGAGTATCAGTATATGTGTATGTATGAGCATGTGAATGTGTGTGTGTGTATGAGTGTGTGTGTGTGTGTGTGTGTGTGTGTGTGTGTAGTGCCTACACGCCACAGTAAGCAGGTAGAGGTCGTAGGACAACTTGTAGAAGTTGGTTCTCCCCTTCCATTGTGTGAGTCATCCAGATTAAACTCAGGTCCTTGGGCTGGGAGGCAAGCGCCTTTATCCGATGAGCCATCTGGCCAGGCCTGAGTCTGTTCATCTATGTTTACTGCGAAGTCTTGCAAGGATTTTGACAGAAGCTCCTGTAAGCCGATGGATCACGTTTAGAGAGAAGTGTTGTCTCCTTCCCTGAGCTTTGTGAGCTTCTCTGTTTGTCTCCTCTTTGCTTTTATTCTTGGTTTTTGTCAGCGTTTTACCGTTTTTCAGCATCGTCATTTTATACATGATTGCTAGATGTCTAAGTGTTTCATTATTTTCAAGTGGTTGTATTCTGTAAACTCTTGGTCGTTTTCCCTCAACTTCCCAAGTTCTGGGATTACAGGTGTGTAGGAGCATTGTGCCCTGGCTAGTTTTAAAATCTGTATTCTTTATGTTTTCTTGTGCAGTGAAGTAGTAAGGTGCAGGATTTCTCTGTGTAACAGCTCTGGCTGTTTTAGAACTCGCTTTGTAGACCAGGCTGGCCTTGAACTCATAGAAATCCTCCTGCCTCTTCCTCCCTAGTGCTGAGATTAGAGGGATGAGCCACCACCACCTGGCTAAATTTGTATTTTTTGTGTCTTAATATATAAAAATATGAATATATTTTATACTGATTTTTCTTATAAATTTTTATTTGGGGTAGCATTTTTATTTTTTCCACATAATTTATATTCATTTCATAACTACTAAGTAAAACATTTTTATAATAGTTATTTTAAAGCTCTTTTATGGGGCTGGAGAGATGGCTCAGACGTTAAAAGTGCTGGCTGCTCTTCCAGAGGTCCTGAGTTCAGTTTCCAGCAACCACATGGTGGCTCACAACCATCTGTAATGAGATCTGGCGCCCTCTTCTGGCCTGCAGGCATACATGCAGACAGAACACTGCATACATAATAAATAAATAAATTTTAAAAACAAACAAACAGAAAACAACTCCGGAGCTGAGTGTGGTGGTGCACACCTTTAATCTTTGTACTCAGAAAGCAGAACCACACAGATTGAGGCCAGCCTGGCCTACATAAAGGGTTCTAGGCCAACAAGTAGACTTGCAAAACAACAACAAAAATACCTTGTTCAGTGAGAGACCCTGTCTCAAGGGAATAAGGTATGGAGAGAGAGCTAGAGCAGAGAATCCAGTATCTTCTTCCTGTATGGGTGTTTTATGTTGTCATTCTGTTTAAGCTCTTGGCCCTTTGTGTGAAAAATGATTGTTGACCAGAACCTTGACATTTGAAACCCTGTGAGATTCTGAGCTTTATTTTAATCATGTGTTTGGGTGGATCTCCTGCCAAGTGGGAATAGAAGTCCAGTTTCTCACCCACAGCCAGGGCTGGGTTCCAGCTCAGGAGTTTAGGTTTCTCCGACCCCCTGTGTCTGAGACACACGGACAGGTGCATGGCTTCCATCGAGCGGACTCACTCCCCGTCAGGCCTTTATTGATTCCAAGGGGACGAGAGGGGCAGATTGCTCCTACTCAGCCACGGTGGACTTTGGCTCACTCCATGGTCTGCTGCTTGGTAGGCAGGTGTCCTGTCATCTGACAGGGATGAAGTCACCTGCTCCTCACCCGTCCTATTCTGGCTGTACTCTAAGGAAACAGGAGAGGCTTGTAGCCGCTGAGCATGCCATTTAGGGTGTTCACCTCTGACCTTTGGTGATAGGAGTAGGGAGTTCCTACAGGTGGTTCTTACATAATTGCATGGGTGGAGGAGTTACTGTCTGAAAATACTCCCTCTTGCTAGGCTGTCTTTTCTTTGATTCTTTGGGCAGAGAAAGCAGACTTTTCCTGGGGCCTTTTTAAAAAGAAAAATTAAGTTTTATTTTATGTGCATTGGCATCAGATCCCCCAGGTGTGAGCTGCCATGTGGGTGCTGGGATCTGAACCCAGGTCCTCTGGAAGAGCAGTCAATGCTCTTAACCACTGGACCATCTCTCCAGCCCCATCCTGGGGCTTTTTTTTTTTTGGTCTGTACTCATTGGGATTTCTGAGTTACTAGCTTCTCCATGATCCAATATAGGACACACTATGGCGTGCCTGTTGAGGTCCGCAAACACCATGTATGTGTGCATATGTATGTGTGAATGTAAATAAAAATACAATCACATCATTCTTCTCCCTCCTTCCTCCCCCAATACCTCCCATTTGTGTCACCCTACTGCATCCCCACGCTCCCCTGCCCCTGCTCAGAGAACCCTTACTCATCCCTTCCACAGTGTGAGTTTCAGGGCAGAATGCGTGTCATCATCGGGCTTAGTGGCAGACCCCTTTACCCCCCTAGCCATATCCCCTGCCCCTCAAAATTGTATTTCTCACAGGATTTTTCTCTTTTTTTCAGGTCTATGGCTATGGTCCATACAGTGGCGCATACCCAGCAGGAACTCAAGTTGTCTATGCTCCCAACGGGCAGGCGTATGCTGTGCGATACCAGTACCCATATGCAGGTAACTAACTCACGCTGGCTGCTTTCTGCCTACAGTGGGGGGCAAAGGGGACTCTTTTTTTTTTTTTCAGTTTGAAGTTAAGTGAGCTGTGCTTTCTATTTGGAGACGCCCGAATCACTTTGTCACTCAGATTTTTGCTTTTGTTTTCTTTATAGTCTTTTGGACTACTTTTGCGGTGCTGGAGTAATTTAATCTTTAAAAAAATTACACTTCATTTATTTTGTGTGCGTGCCTCATAGATACGTGTGTGCGGATGGATGTGTTTCACAGTTCACGAGGGGAAGTCATAGGACAACTTGAGGGGCAACCCATTGTTATGTACCTCAGGGTGATGTTGGGCCTTTGCTTGGGAATCTTTTGGAAAATGCTTGTCCTTGGCTAGAGCAGGTTCTGCTTCATTTCTTCAGACTTGAAATCTAGAGGACGTCTGGTGTGTACAAAGTCCCAGCATGATATAAAACTGGTTGTTGTAGAGGCAGGAGGTTTTGCTCAGCTGTGGAGTAAGTTCGGGGCTGTCCTGGATGACATGAGCGATGTCTCAAAAGAAGCGAACAGGAAAAGGAGGATGAAGGAGAAGAAAATCCAGGAGACTTATGGTTATTTGTTTTGGGACAGGGTCTCACTATGTATCCCAGATTGAGTTCCACTTTGAGTTTCTCCTCTCTGGTCCCTTGAGTGCCGGAGTTACTGGTGTGAGCTACTGGGCTGGGTAGTAACGAAAAAGAAAACAGATCTCCGGGAAAGTTAATGTTGCAACCCAGGCTTGTGCTGAAAGAGATAAGGAGACTAAAAAGTGGCCTGCGGGGCCCACACTGGGATAAAGGCAAGGGTGCCCTAGGCCAAAAGACCCCACCCAGCTGGTAAGGAACAAACAAAAGCTACTGCAGATGTGACTCTGACTCCAGTAGACTAGGTGACTCGGTTTCTTATCAAAGTGACAACTGGCAGCCTGGATCCTCAGGGCGCTGGCTCTAGAGTCCTGACAGATTCATGAGTAAAAGGGTTGTTGAATCCTCTTCCATGGTTACAGAGAGCCACTAAGGCCAAGCATGTGGGAAGGAAGTCTTTGCTTGGAGGCCCTGAGAGGCTCTTGTGTGAAGATGTGGAAGTGAGGAGGGGAGAGAGAGAGAGACAGAGACAGACAGAGAGAGAGAGAGAGAGAGAGAAAGAGAGAGAGAGAGAGATCTTACAGGCAGCAAGGTTGGAGGGGCAGAACCACCTAAGTATGAAAATATGAACCGTGGGATTGGGATTTGCTATTTGGTCTTGCTTTGGTCCAGTATTTCCTCATAATCCCCATTTCCTGCCTTTAGGTATGGTGATACATGCTCTGTGCCATTATACAACAGTAGTGTTATTTACTGTTAGGAGAATCCCTGGAGTCTCCAAGGAGACTTTGGAATTTTAAACAGCGTTGAGACTGAAAGACTTTGGGGACTTTCAGAGTCGTTAGATACAATGAGGTTTGTATTATAACGTGTCCGTGAGACTGAGGGGGTCGGGGAGTGGAGTGCGGTGGTTCAAATGAGGTGCTTCCCGTATTCCCAGTTGAATACTTGGCTCGCAGGTGGTGGCACTGTTCAGGGAGGGTTAGGGGCTGGGGCCTTGCAGGAGAAAATGCATCACTGCCTGCCGGTGAGGTTAGAGGTTTTAAAAGCCTCATGCCATACTCGCCTGGCAGGGGAAATACCGTAATCGTGAAGGTGGCTTTCCTAGGGCAAGGCTTATCTGTTGCGCTCCAATTGTGCACCCCTGCGATTTCCCCAAATTCGGGAAAGTCGACTGTATAATCTGTGGTGGGGGGATGCTTTGTACTTTCCCCTGAAGAAAAAGGAGGAGGAGGAGAAGGAAGAAGTAGAAGGAGAAAGAATTAGAGGAAGAAGAAATAAATAGATGCCTCATGCCATGTCTAATTCACTGCCTGCTTCATGCTTGCATTCTGAGATGTGAGCTCGAAGCTGTTCCTGGTGCTTGCTGCCATGCTTCCCGTGTGACGGTGATGGACTCTTATCCCTCTGGGACCATAAGCCCAATTGCACCTTCCTCCAGCAGGTTGTTTTCGGCCACGGTGTTTCATCACAGCAACAGGAAAGTAGTTAAGACACCACGGCCTCGTTAAGAAAGACTTGGTGATTTTTGTCCTCATAGTACATGGGTCACCTCTGGGCATCAGGCAGAGTTGGCATCAGTTTTTTGTTTTGCTTTTTGAAACAGGATTTCTCTGCAGCTTTGGAGCCTGTCCTGGAACTCACTCTGGCCTCGAACTCACAGAGATCTGCCCGTCTCTGCCTCCCCAGTGCTGGGATTAAAGGTGTGTGCCACCAACGCCCAGCTGGCATCAGTTTTGTTCATCAAAGGTGCTTGTAAGAAGTGTCGGGGATAAGGTGGTTGGGATGGCTGAGTGGGTATAGGCGCCTTCCACCAAGCTTGGCAACGTGAGTTCAGTTCCTAAGATCACACCGTGCAAGGAGAAAGCCAACTCCCCCAGATTGTTCTCTGACTCCTGTGCGTGCTCTGTGGTGCATGCCTAGCCCCCAAATAAATAAACAGTTTTTAAAAATTATTTACTTGTTACATCCCAATCCCAGTTCCCCCTCCCTCCCACTCCCTCTGAACAGTTATTTATTTATTTATTTATTTAAGTGACGGAGTTTCGGTTCTAGAGTGAGCCAGCAAGAAATTCTCTTGCTGATTCCCTGTTTTCTTTATTGGTGAGGAGGAGAGTTTTCCCTCAGCTCTCTCCTCTTCTCTCTTTTTGAAAATTAGGTTATTTTAAATTATCTGTGTGTGGGTGGATAGTGTACACATGGCTGAAGAGGCCAGAGGTTTCGGGGCTCCCAGAGTTGGAGTTATAGGCAGCTGTGAACCAATGAACCTGAATACTGGGAACCAAGCTCAGATCCGAGCACTAAGGCATCTCTCCAAATTCACCCCCTCTAACTAACTCCCTTAGTTTTCTCTACAGATATCTAGCTGTTACCATGCACAATTAAGACGCTTCTGGTTTGTTGCCAGTACTTCCGGCGGTGTTAGGATTCATGGTGACTCATGGCAAGTCCCAGTTGGGGACTAGTGAGTCCCACCCACCCGCTTCACCGGTGGCCTAAGCTGCTTTCCACTTACTTTCATCTGGGGCTTCTTTAATGTTACATGGATGAGTCTATGTGTTGTGTTAGTCAGTGGTCCAGCCTGCTGTGCTCTTATAGGACTGTATCATTTGAGCAGCGAGGCTGTTGGGACTGGTGGAGGAGGAAATGGGGTGAGGAGGCAGAGAGAGGGAGGAGGCGGCACAGGATGGATGGCTGGATGGCCGTGGTACTGTGAGAGGAAGCAATAGCTTAGAATTCCCCAGGTTAGAGTGCAGGCAGGCGCATTTGTAGCTTCTTGTGATGCATTTTAGCAATTTGGACAAGAAGATTCCCACCCCCACCCTCCCCGCCCATGCTCTTCTGGGTTTCTTGGAGCCTACATAATTCATTCTGCAAAATCGTAAGAGTATGCATGACATTCTTGGTTGTAGATTAAGGATGTGAAGATGGTATCTTTTGGTTCTTCTGGCTCCTGGGCTCCATAGTTCTGGCACCATGTGTGTACAGGCCACATTCTTTGCACTCTTTGATGATATCTCTGATGTTGGGACCTTTGAAGTTCCCCGGTATCCTCGATGCTGAAGAAGTGACTGTTTTGGCGCTGGGAGTATTGAGAGGAAGGTGCACATAGCTCACACTGTGAATGAGACGCCTCTTTTCAATATTTTAGCTTAGGCATGAGTGTAGTCAAAAAGTCTGTAACAGAGTCAGGGCAGTGACCTCATCAAAAAAGCCAATTAACCCTCAGGAGAGACCTGTCTTGGCATTTGATGGTGGCTTAACTGGTGCACGGTGAAAAACCCCAAGGGCCGTGGCTGCAGGTATGAGCCACCATGCCTGGCTGCTGACTCATCTTTCATTAGGCTTTGCCCTGTTTCTCCCACGGTCTTCCCATTTGTCTGTCATCCCAGCAGGCACGATGGGGAGGGCTGCCATGGAAACCAGAGGCAGACCTCCGGTAGCGGGGTAGCTTTATCGCGTAGGATCAGGCCCTGTTTATCGGTGCTCTGATCTTTGCACTGTTAAGGGGTTTGGACCTGGCAAGCAGAGGACCCTGATCTGTCAGTAAGTCCTTAGGAAGAGGCGCGTGTAAGGTTCCCGGGCCTCTAGCTGGCCCCGTCACCGTCTGTTCAGAGCTCAGTATTGATGCTTGTACCTTCTCCTACACAGTGGAGTTCTTTCTTCCCGCTGGCAGCTGCAAGCTTGCCTCCCTCCCAAATCCCAGGCGGCCTTGAGTTTTTACTCTTCCATATCAATGCCTCCGTGGCTGGGTCACGTTTCCAGCTCCCTGGAAACCTATGAGTACGAAACTCCCTTTGTTTCCTCAGAACAGAAAGGAACTGAAGGTATCCTCCCCAGTGGTCATGTTGCTGTATTTGTCTTAGTTACTTTTCTGTTGCTGTGATGAAACACCATGACCAAGGCAACCTATACAGGAGAGTTTATTGAGTCTATGGTTTCAGAAGGCGAGTCCATGACTATCATGGAAGGGTACAGGCTCGCGTGATGCTGGAGCAGTAGCTGAGGGTTTACATCCTTATCCACAAAAAGGAGGCAGAGACTCAGGACTGCACTGGTGACACATCTTCTCCATCCAACAAGGTCACACCTTCCAGTACTTCCCAAACAGTTCAACTGGGGAGCCAGCTAGGGACCAAGTATTTAAACATGAGAACCTATGGGGGCCATCCCCATCCTCTAATAAAATTCTCCCGAAGGATGACCAGCTTCCTCCCTTTACAAGCGTGTACCACCATCCTTCTGCCTTTTAGATAGAGTCTCACTGTGTAGACCAGGCTGGCTGTGTGCTCACAGATATCTTCCTCTCCCTACCTCCCTGCTGGGATTAAAGGTGTGCACCACCATGCCAGGCCTCATGGATCATCTTTTAAAATATATATTTTTAGATTGTGTGTGTGTGTGTGTGTGTGTGTGTGTGTGTGTGTGTGTGTACCAAGTGCATGCCTGATGCTTGCAGAGATCAGAAAAGAGGATTGGATCCCCTGAACCTGGAGTTATGGATGCTTATGAGGTACCATGTGGATGCCAAGTCCTCTGCCAGAGCAACAAGTGTTCTTAGTCACTGAGCCAAGTCTCCAGACCCTCATGTCTCATCTTTTATTAATTGCAACAGTGTCTTCCTCAGCACATATGTGATGGGTTTAGAGAGGTTTGGGTTGAACTCACTGGAGCCACCCATTAACACTTTTCTGTGGGTCGTCAAAGGTCGACTGGTAAGCAAGCTGGTCACATGGAGAGTAAAGGGCATCATATAGCCAGACTTTCATTGGACTGCCAGCTCCCAGATAATGATATGGAGGCCTGTTAATTATGAAGGCTTGGCCTTAGCTTAGGCTTGTTCCCAACTAGTTTTTAAAACTCAAATTAACCCATTTATATTAATCTATGTTCTGCCACGTGGCTCCGAGCCTCTCCTTAGTACGGTGCAGTATGTCAGACTTTGCGTCTTGCTTACAAATCCCTGCCTCTCAGACCCCACCCCCCCATTCCAGTTCCTGTCTTTTCCCGGAAGTCCCTCCTATCCTCTCCTGCCTAGCCATTGGCCATTCAGCTCTTTATTAAAGCAATCAGAAGGTGCCTTAGGCAGGTGAGGAAGGACAGATACATCTTCACAGAGTGTGGTCAAATATCCCGCAACAGCACCATCTTCTCAACGATTGTCAGATTTCCAATTTATCTCAAAGATCTCTTTCTCTCTCTTATAGGAGTCTATGGACAACAGCCTGCCAATCAGGTCATCATCCGTGAGCGGTACCGAGACAATGACAGTGACCTGGCCCTGGGCATGCTTGCTGGGGCAGCCACAGGCATGGCCCTGGGCTCTCTGTTCTGGGTCTTTTAGAGCCTCCAAAGTGTCCTGTGCATCGCTTCTGTTAGTCCTGTGTGCAATAATTGATTTGCAGGGCATTTCTGTTTGTGACAAGTGTCTTTCATAGTAATTTAAATAGTTCTTTTGAAGATGGTAATCTGACGGTTGTGACTGACGGCGTGGTACCACAGAGAGGGCCTGGAAGTATGCTGTGAGTGAGATCCGGATTTCCTCAGGGTACTTGCACCGAGTCTTTCTTTGGGAGCTCATGGACGACCTTGTGTAAACACACCCATTTAAAGGAGCATTTCCTGTTTAGTTAGGTATGGTACTTAACTAAAGGATGACTTTCCCTGCTATGCCAATAATAATGCCGGTGGATGAGGATATGAGTGAGTGTGGCGAGAATTCAACTTCTTGTACATTAACTGTGAAATCCCCCCCCTTGACCTGACTGCATATTACGCTAGAGCTGTGGCCTAGTGGCTCCTGCAGGGCAGTGGTGTGAGAGCCCTATCATCCGCCCCTGCGTAGCTCCCTGGTACCTACCTATAAGATTGACTGCTCGGGACGAAAATAGAGACTCCTTCCCTTTAAAAATTATGTTTCAGGGATCTGCCCAGTTGTACCCTCTTGTTATTCTTCTGTTTGCTTTTCCCTTGAATAATTGGAAAGAGCCTCAAGGTGGGAGTTGATTTGAGCCTGAGCGTTTGAAGCTTTACCTTTAAACCCTGCTGAACGAAGAGTAGCGAGTGTCAAGTGGGTGGAGCTAGACTGTGATGTGTTTTCAGCCTTTGCTTCGGTGTATCGATTGCCGGCTCAGTCTGTCTATAGCCTATTTTTCTACTTGTAAAGGAAGTATGGTGAGGGGCTGGGGGGAAAGCCTTAGTATAATGTCCCTGTCTCAGGCCTTCTGGGTCCCAAGCTGTACGAGGACACTGTCTAACTCCTGGAGGGGCTTGTCCTTAGCCATGGTGGGGCCCTGTGGCTGTCCAGAGTGTGGGGATGAACCAGACCTGGGCGGAGACGTCTCAGGTTCTGAGTGAGAAATGAGATTGGGTAGAGTCTCAGGGGTTTGTTCTAATCCCTCGTGTTAGTGGGGACCCAGCCTCGTTTTCATTCCCGACTCGATCATGATAGGAAAGCTTAAAACATTTCTAGTCCCTGAATGTGAGATGCTCTAGGAAGCCCACAGTCCTGTTTTCTGAGGGGGGAGGGTAGGGGAAGGATGTTCCAGATATTTAAACCTTCTCTGTTCATGCATTGTAAAGCTCCCATTTCCAGCTTTGTGTCGGGCATGCTTTAAACAGTGCCTTTCACAAAGGTCTCTTAGTTCCGTTTCTCCAGCATGCTCCCGCTAGGCACACTGAATGTGCCCAGCCCAGCGCATGCGTGCTGGCAGCTTCCTCTTGGTCAGTTCAAGTCTTGAACCTATCTCCATGTGAGACAGTTGCCAAGGAGATGTGATGTTGCCCACCGTGTTTTTCTAGCCACTCCCGGAGGACTTGCTGACACAGTACTGCCCACTTCTGGCTGAAATTTGCTTTGTCATCCCTGGTAGGTGGCTGTGTACCACAACACGGTTCTGATGGTTTGTAGTGTGACCTTAGTGAATATGTTGAGTTTTACATCCTGTGTTGTAACAGTGGCCTCACAGCGCTATCATCCTTAAAGCTCCATGCTTTACTTACAAACCATTAAATTCGGTTTTTAGTGATGCATAGGGATGCTGATTTCGAATGTAGTTTCTGCGGTTCCTGGAACCAGAGAGTGTTGAGTCATGCCCCTGAAACAGAGCTATCTCCTACTGTCCCGTGCGTGTGCCCTGACGAGACCTTAGCCCCAGTGGGACTAGCTTTAACAGGCAGCCAGCGTTGAGCCTGCTCATTTCTTGCCACCAGTTGCTTGATTCTGGAATGAAATGCATTCTGGGTATGAACATGGACTCAGGCATTTCATTCCTTGGCCCCTGTCCTTTAGATGCTTTGCTTCAGCCATGTCATTTTGCACCTCTTGTCAGTCATGTGTGTCGTGAGTTTCTGGGGACTGCTTATCCAGGGTTGAGGGGCATTTCTCCACCATGGATAATTTTAAATAATGACCCCAAGGCTGGAAGAGGATGGCTGCTGACACTGTGCATGGCTGATTTCCATTGCTCTTTTTTGTTTTTGGTTTTTTTTTTTTTTTTTTTTTTTGTATTGTTTTGATTTTTTGAGACAGGTTTCTCTGTGGCTTTGGAACCTGTCTTGGAACTAGCTCTTGTAGACCAGGCTGGCCTCGAACTCACAGAGATCCGCCTGCCTCTGCCTCCCGAGTGCTGGGGTTAAAGGGGGTGCGCCACCAATGCCCGGCTCCATTGCTCTTTTCCTTGATAACAACTTTCCGCATGAAAGAGGGAAGCCAGAGGTTCAGATCTCAGATCATCACTTGTCAAGAAGGCCCAACTTTGCATATTTTATGGATCATCGGGTCCCACAGTAGCCTTTTGGAGTGTAGAAAGTTCCTGTGGTTGAGACATGATGATCCAGACTTATTTCCTACATGTGTTGTTGCTCCTATGTAACCTTTCATTTAGCCTTCTAGTTTATGTGGATGAAAGCAGAGGACACAGGCAATCTTCTTTGTGATTGCTTTTGTGTTTCTGTTATTCTGTGGTGTCTACAGAGCCTATTTTCTCCCCGTGTGTGCACATGGTATGTTTATAAATGAACTTGGTAAAATATTAAATGATCATTAACCTGAAACCGTGTTTCGTTGTGATTTCTGTTGCAGTTTTAAATTATTTGAGGGTGACTGGAGAGATAGTTGAAGTGCCTGTCCATGCAAGCATGGGGATCTGAGATCAGTTCCCTGGCACCCATGGGAATGCTGAGCTTGGCTACAGACATTTGTAATCATGGAACCGGAGCCGTGGAGAAAGGACAGCGCCCCCCCCCCCCAGAGCTTGCTGACTGGCCTTCTAGCCAACCAGCAGGTTCTGCCTTCATTGAGAGACCCTGTCGCTGAAGATAACATGGAGAGTGATAGATGGTGGCATCTGACATGAACTGCTGGTCTTCACACAAACACATACACATAAATTACTGGCCATGGTGGCACATGCCTTCAAACCCAGCCCTAATGAGGGGAAAGCAAGAATATTATAAAATTGAAGCCAGTTTGGGACCACATAGGGGGAAAAAAAATAGTAACACGTCAGCTTTTTCTGTTACCAGCAGTGAGGATTCCACTTACTCAGGACTTTTAAGTATTTAAGCACTGTCACTTCAGAAGAAGAAATGTATAATTCTTTTTAAGACTTAACTTTTATTATTTTATTTTTTGAGATGAGGTCTTACTATGTCGCCCTGGCTGTCCTGGAATTTTCTATGTAGATCAGGCTCACCTTGAACTCACAGACATCCACTTGCCTGGGTGCTAGAATGAAAGATGTGTGCCACCATGCCTGGAGTACTGTTATTTCAATTGTGTGCATTTATATGTGCATGTAGAAGAGTATGTGTGCATGGATACAGGTGACGGAGGGATTGGGTTCCCTGGAGCTGGAGTCCTAGGCGGTAAAATTCAGGTCTTCCTGCAAGAGAGTACAAGCGTTTAACCATTACACCATCTCTTCAGCTCCAGCTCCTAACTCCGTAATTCTTTTTTGTTGTTGTTTTTAGTTTTTGTTCTTATTTACTTACTTGTTTATTTTTGAGGCAGGGTTTCTCTGTGTGACAGTTCTGTCCTGGAACTTGATTTGTAGACGAGGCTGGCTTGGAACTCACACATCCATCTGCCTCTACCTCATTAGTGCTGGGATTAAAGGTGTGTGCCACCACTGCCAGCCAACTCACTAATTCTTACAGTTATCTGTAAGGGAAGTTTTGTTCAGGTTATATCTGGGAAGTCAGTAATATTAGCTCATGTCTGCATTTGTGTTACACCGTGTATGATTTGTGCAAGAGCACATGGTAGCCGGGGTGGTCACACTTTTACAATGGCTGTTAGAAAACTTCCTTGAGCAGATCAAATTGGCACAGAGTCCCTGCTAACTAATTTCTGTGGGTACTTGCATGTTCTGCATGGTTGAGGGAATCTACAATAACCACACACCTCTGCTGGAAACTGTTTGCCTTCTCGTTATTTTTAAGGGCTCACTGATTTTACTCTTGGACTCTTTTGCCTATTGTCTCATAGACATGGGGCCACAAAGGACACTTTAGACAAACGTGAGGGTCTGAAAAAAGTATGGTGCATCCCCGCTTTCAGAGGCAGTTTCTAGGCTCAAGCAGTAAGCACTCGAAAGTTTACCAATAGAAAGTGCTTAACAATAACTTGGTTTTTTTTTTTCTTTGTATGTGCCTGTGTTCACTCATTTGTGCTTGTGCATGTGGGAGCCAGAAGTCAACATTGGGTGGCTTCCTAAATAAATGGCTTTCCATCTTAATGTTTGGGACAGGGTTTCACTGAACCTGGAGTCACTGATTGGGTTAGACTGCCGGGCTACAGAGCTCCAGGGTTGATCTCTTTCCCTCTTCCCAGCCTTGAGGTCACAGGTGTAAGCTACTGTGCTCACTTTTCATATGGGGACCAATGTCACTATCGATAGCATGAGAGATGAGCAGGAAAGCTGCCTGGGGGAAATGGGCTATTCAGAAATTAGAGGAGTTTTCAAATATTTGTTAAAGCAATAAAACAAGGACCTGGGGAGATGGGTCTGTATGACCTAAGTCTGATCCCTACTACGCACATAAAAAAGATGGGCATAGATAGATTAGTGCATTGTTTGGTCCTTCAGAGAAAGCTACTTCCTGCAGTAGATGTTAACACAGAAACTCACAATGGGACAACGCAGAGTGAGAGACTTTGGGATGTCCTTGTCAAAGCCAACTGCTCAAGGTTCAGGATCTACGAGGAAAAGAAGGCAGAAAGATCGGAAGAGCAGGAGGTGATGGATGGCTCCAAAGAAACAGTTTCTTCCCAACATAATGGGACTGGGACACACGTGGACTTACAGACTGTGATAGCACACGCAGGGCCTCACAGGTCCGAGCCAGACAAAACTCCAAGCACAGAGCCCCAATGCTAGCCAAGAAACGACTTGCAATTGATATCTGTTGGGAGAAGGACAATCATTTTTATCTAGTGGAGACATTGGGTCTATCAATCCCACTCCAGGGCAAGCCATGTGCCTGTGAGTATTTGGCCAATACAAAACGGACTCCATGGTCTTTGTTTGTTTTATTTTGTTATTTAGGGTCTTTGTTTGTTTGTTCATTATTGGCATCTTGGTTTTTTAAGAGAAAGATCGCGAAGTGGGGAGGGTTAGGCAGGGAGGTGAGATGGATTGGGAGAAGGGAAACAATGTGATCAAAATATAAGTCAACAAATACATCATACAAACAAACAGACTGGCTGTTTGGTGTGCAGCTATAATCCCAGACTAAAGAGAAGGAGACAGGCGGATCCCTGGAGCTCACTGGCCAACAGTTTAGCCTAACTGGTGAGTTCCAGGCCAGTGAGAGACCTTGACTTGAAGGGGATGGCCAGCGTTCCTGATGATAGCCCTGGAGGGTTGTCTTGCCCTCTGGCCTGTACACTTACACCCAAACACGTCCATGAGTATATGTGTGTACCCAGTACACACATGCATTTGAGTACACACAAGCACACACACTTTTTTAGAAACACAATTATCTTCACCGCTCTCAACTTTTTAATGGAAGTCATGTTTGTATTACCCTTCCTTTTGATAGTATTTGCTGATTAGTAAAACTGGTAGCACAAATCACCTGTCAACTGCCAGTTGTCAACCAGATGTAGGCTCCAAAGTGGCTGTGTGTGTGTGTGTGTGTGTGTGTGACCATTCATGGGTTATTTACATATTTTTTCATTACTAGGGGATTAAATGAGGGTCTTAGGCATGTAAAGCAAGTACTCTGTCCCTTTTCAGAAGCTGCCTCCATTTACCTAGTGCAATCTACAGGGAGGGCTGCCTGGGGCAAGTGTACTTTAGGGGGTCTCGAACTCAGTCCTCCATTGCTCGTCTAGACCTGGATGAGCATGGCCTCGCACCTCAGCTTCCCCGCTCTGTATAATGGTCCCACCTCCCAGGCAAGCAGTAAGTACAGATTCTCTCCTCGGCCCGTGGTTCCCAGGGATCCTAGCCCCGTAGCTCTGTAGTCTCTGAGAAGCCATCAGACCTGAATCCAAACCAGGATCAGCAAGGCTCCGCTGCGAGCTGGAGAAACCAGTTGACAAGGGCGTCTTCCCGAACCGGCTCTCCGTTCTTCCTCCGGGCAGCTGCCACTTCTGGGAGCTGCCACTAGGTGTCAGAGTGGCCCCAGGAAAAGACTTTCTTGCCGCACAGCAACACCTATCCTCTCTGAGTGGCCTAGGGTTGCATTGGAGGCTTAGCACACAAGAAGAGAAGAGGGAGTGGGAGGGCTGAGGTGGCAGGCACCCCCTGCACTGCTGCTGGTGACCTGAACTCTGTACCCCTTCTGGTCCCGGGAAGTGAGCCCTTCCTCCTGGTTTCCTACGACTGAACACAGGACTTAGAGCCTGCGAGGTGAGTGTCCTTGCAACTAATCTACATCCCCAGCCACGACCATCTATTTCTAGTTGCCATCTTAAAAACCGATTCCCAGCCAGACATTGGTGGCACACGTCTTTAGCTCCAGTACTTGGGAGGCAGAAGCAGGAGGAGCTCTGTGAGTTCAAGGCTAGCCTGGTCTACAGAGCTAGTTCCAGGACAGGCTCCAAAGCGATACAGAGAAAGCCTGTCCTGAAAAACAAAAACAAAACAAAACAAAGAAAGAAAGAAAGAAAAGAAAAAGAAAACTAATTCCAAGTAGGAAAAGTCTTATACACAAAGATCCTATTGGAACAGTTGGAAGATCTCTAGTAATGGCAAGGAAGTTGGTCATGGCCCCAAGAACCACTTTAGAATTAGTGGAAACAAAGTCTGTGAAGATCATAGCACCCTAGTAAACAAACAGAGTGGAAGGGTGGTGGTGGCACACATGTGTGACAGTTGTGTAGCTTGATCTATTTGTGGGACTCCTAGTGGTGGGAGCGGGGCCTGTCCCTAGCGCTTTGGCTGGCTTCCGGGAACTTACTCTTCCTATTGGGTTGCCCATGCACATCCTTAATGCAAGGGGAGGTAATCAGTTCTATGCAACTTGATATCCATGCCTTTTCGACACCCAGCCTACTGGAGGCCTCCCGCTTTCTGAGCAGACACAGAGGAGTGAGTTGGGGCAGGGGAGAGGAGGTAGGGAATGGGAGGGGAGGAGGGAGGGGAAACCTTAGTAGGAATGTAAGGAAGGGAATCACATTCCTAGGGCACAGTCCTTCACTGAGGGGAAGGCCTGGCAGCAGGTATGTGAGCCACTGGTCATTTTATACCCACATCCAGGAAGCAGAGTGTGAGCATAGAACTGGGCTACACAGTCTACTCCTAGTGATCTACTTCCTCAGTGAGCCTCTACCCCCTGAAGGCGCCACAGCCTCCCAAACAGTGCCAGCAGCTAGGGGCCAGGTGTTGAAACACAGGAGTCTACAGAGAACATTTCCTATTGAAGGCATGACACCATCTTTTCCCATGTGATGCGGAGTGTCATGCCCTCTTGCAATAGAAGCCATTGTTTGGCCTCTGCTGTGGGTGATAAGACCTGCAAGAAAGGCAGGGCCATTTCAGAGTGGCATGTCCCTCATGGAAATACCTGGGGTGGCCGTCATCTTCCTGTGTATGGTATGA